TTTTTGGTTTCTCTAGTAACTGAGACATTGAATCTACTTCAAAATGGTTTTTAAAGAGTTAGAAATAGCTTTATAGATGACAGGCATTGAGAGTTATAATATGTCAATTATAAATTCTTTTGAGAAAAAGGTTACGACTTACGAGACAAAAATGTTAAAAGATATACATCGTAAGGAAACTTGAAGAAAAGCCGAGCAATAAATCTTTTCAATAATTTATAGTTGCTTTTGTCCTTTAAATAGCTAAATTCAAGCGAGGAGAAAAAAAAGAGATATTTTAGAGCTGAATTTTTTCTCCTATGATTACTAAAATTTATTTTTTTAACCTATTCTAACCGCATAATGCTAACGTCGTAGCCCAAGCTTATAGTTCACCTTGGAAATTGATGGAAATAATATAACTTCACACANTAGTTCACCTTGGAAATTGATGGAAATAATATAACTTCACACAATCTCTATGAAAAATTATGCTTAAATAGTAATAGACAGAAAAATTCCAAGTTTAAAAGTTATTGTGGCTATTGTATTAAATAATGAAACTTATGAGAAAAAACGTAGTTCATATATGATAACTAAAGCAAACTTTTTCGCAGTTCATATTTTTAATGCGAAAAAAACAACCTATTAAAAATGTAAACCCATCTCGAGTTTCGACTTATTATAAATAATAACACATCATACGTAACAAATGCTTATGCGGTGTAATTATATGTAAATCATACTTTTTATAATGGAGCACAAATTATTTTTAACCTCATATGTATACTTAAAAAATACAAAACATAACACTTTTTATTCCATTCTCATAAAATTAATGTGTTAATGTATCTGTTATATAAACATTTAAGTATCTAAGAATACACATAAATATTTCAACGGACTTAAATATTTTTTAAATACTCTAAATTACATGCATTTCATGTATCTAGTGTTCCTTACACATCTTATGTGATTAATAGGAACTTAAATTTTGCGAAATACTTTTACTTCATACGATTCCAAGAATTCTAAATTAATTTTGTTGTTCATTACCAAAGTAAAACATAAACTTAAAAAATACTTTGCATACTATGTAGGCATATTATTTGAGCAAACTGGTCTTGTGTATGTAGTTTGTTTATAAAATTATATCTAATTTTATATTTAAGTAAATATTTTTTTCTAATGAATTTATTAAAAAAATGTAGATTCATTATGTCGTATTGTTAATTATTTCCAAATATTATTTTTAAAACAATAGTTATTATAATAACATTTACACTATTTATGTAATTATTGCTAATGAATAAATCTCTTTAAGAGTCTATAACCAATTATAATGGTATTTCAACCAATCAAATGTTAACATTAATAATATGTTCGATAAAAAGTTCATGAAGAACATATGTATTCTATTCGTTTCAAAGTTGGCACAATATTATTGTGAATTTGTGTAGTCATATACATATAAATGAATATAATGAGTTTAAATAAAATAATACAAAGCCATACATTTAATACATCCTGAAATATGTCATAACACAAAAGATGTATATAACCTCAATAATTTTAAATAATTAGATAACATTAATCAGTTATTATGTTCAATAAATTCATGAATCACGCTTAAGATTAATATTATCTTGAATCTCATATTTTATATTATGGTAATAATAATTTCTCTTTAGTATAAGTTAATATATAATAAAAATTAAGTACATTTAAAATAATTTAAAAAGGGTACGTTCATAAATTACAATTTCAACTTTAAACTCTTTTGATTTAGAGATCTTAACTTCGTTTTAAATTTGATATCAAATTATTAATATTGAATTAAAAAAATGTGAAAGGTTTCTTTTTAACTTAAAAAAAAATTAAGGTAAAAAGATATCGCCTTATGATCATTTGTCCATTCAACGTGACAACACATTCCCATATTTTTTTTTCTGAATTCTATTTACTTTTTAGACGTTTCAATATATTGACGTTTCTAAAAATCACAAAAACTTACACATCTGTAAGGTTTTTTATGCTGTACAAATAAATTATATGAACTTTCTTCATGACATAATAATTTGTTGGACAATGACGCTTATGGCTACGGAATTAAAATGAAACATAAACCCTTTAAATAATGTCCATTTAGTTTTTCCAATTCAAACTTTCCGTTGACACTTTATCCTTCTGTTTTTAATTGATATAATTAAATCAAGTTCTATTGAATAAAATCCAGACTATTATCAAAAGTTACTATTAATTTAAACTCGTTTTTTTTTATCCTATCTTAAAAATTATTATTATACTACTATCTTTTATAAATTATATACATTTATTATTTAAATAATACAGAAATTAAATATTAAACAGTTACTTAAATTTAAAATAAAGCNTTAATTTAAACTCGTTTTTTTTTATCCTATCTTAAAAATTATTATTATACTACTATCTTTTATAAATTATATACATTTATTATTTAAATAATACAGAAATTAAATATTAAACAGTTACTTAAATTTAAAATAAAGCAAACACAAAAAAAAACTAAGACAAATAATTTAAATGGTAGCACTTAGTATTATTAAAAAAGTTATTTATATAGATATTATTTGTTATCCTTATATATTATTTTTTAAGTTAATCAACTAGTAATTCTAATACCTAATCACTCTTGATAATAAGATTTTTAAGTAGATATAAATTAATAATAACCATTCAAATTTAATTTTTGAACAGTTTAAGATGTTATAAATTCAATTAAATTTAGAAACTTATTATGTCTATAAAAACATAGACGTGAATTCATGCATTTACTGAATGTGTCATACGTTCTGCTTCATTTTTTAGCACATGACATAAAAATTTAACAAGGGAATATATATATTTTTTTTAATGAATAAGTATTTCATAATCAGCTGAACATATACTATTTATTAAGATTAATATTTTAATATATTTGAACAAAACAGTTTCGAAATATTTTGGCTTAATTCCCACTATAAAAATATTTAATGATTTTGTGCTCATATATTATATTTTACATGACAAAAACATTTTTTAACGTATTATTCATAACAAAACGGTAAATTCTAATAAAAAATTACAATAATTAAGATTTTAAAGATCTAAAGAATGAAAATTATTCTGTTTACAAAACATTACATGATACAAAATAAAAATTATGTTAACAATTTCGTATTATTTAATATAATTATTCTTGTGATGATGATTATTCCAAAATGAGGTGCTTTAACAAAAATTAGTATATTACAGTTTTACTTATTTTGTTATATCTTTGAAATATTTTACGCTGAAAATACTTTTAAACAAAATATTAAAGCTTAATTAGCAAATATCTCATGAAAGTCTGGTAGTCAACTTTACCGTGTTAAGATATTTCTGGAAAATCGTTTTTGCTTTTTACTTCATTTTAACTTGGTAACCAAATCATTTTTTTACAAAACAATCTAGAGTATACCATGTTTTAACGTTTATGAGATTTTTACATTAATCTTCCCAAATTAATGTAAAATATGTTTACAATAAAGTTATATTTTTTATTTATTACAAGGGCTATGTTTATTCCATATTTCATAATATATTTTACGATTGTTTCATACAGTATTATTTTATACACACAGATATATGTCAAAAATAACTGAACATTGATTATTTCTATATTTCTTTTAAACTAAAAAAGAAAACTTTACTTGTCAACAATAATTTCATAATTTAAAAATAATATTTTTCTAATATTAGATGATTTTGAAATATAAAAAATTGAAACTAAATAAGTTAACAATTTTCTAAATGATGATGCAATTCTAAAGCAAAGTTACGTGTCAAATATATAAAAAAGTAAATTGAATAATTTCACTCAATTTGAACCGGAATGAAAATCGTTCGCCAAATTCCGGTCGTGTTTTACAAAGCACAAGAAAATACGACATGGCTCATCAAGTCATTTTTTAAAAATAAATATTAAAAAAAATGAAAAGAATCAATGGCAGTTCAGATACTCAATTTATTCTAGATAATTTTTTTGTAGAAAAGGCTTTTTAGTCTTAATTGATATTTGTTATTCATTATTTTTATAAATGATTTTGATAAAATATTTTCGTATTCTTGTTCTTGCTGATGTAAATATTTATTTGATTCTATGGATGAGTCAATAAAACAAAAAATTGATAGTTTTTATAATTGGCGTATAAATAATAGTTTCCATGTTAATACTTTAAAATACTCAGAATTTTCATCTTCACACGTTGTAACTCGTATNAAATACTCAGAATTTTCACCTTCACACGTTGTAACTCGTATAATGTTTTATTTTTGTATAAAATTGATGCTGCCATGTTAAATAAAGTGAGCCATATTAAAGATTTAGATATATTTTTATAGTTACTTTTATAGTTTTGTGTACATATATCAATATTGTACACGATGCCTTACGAGTTTTTGGTTTTCTTTAAAGAAATTGTTAGGATTTTAATAATGTTTCGTGTCTAAAGGTGTTATATTTTTCTCTTGTACAAGGGTCAATTACATGGTCACCTTACCTATTTTGGAAGTAAAGCAGAGAATCTTCAAAATCAGTTATTACGTATGATGGATGACGTTAAACTGAATAAATTTAACATTGACATAAATAATATTCTAAAGATCTTAAATTTTAATGTAAATACGCTTGTAAATCGTAAAAGAAACATTGATAAAAACTTGTAATAAAATACTGATTTTGATTCGTTTTTCAATTTATTACTAAATTGTTATTTATATTAAGATTAATTTTAAAATGAATACTAACGAAATTAAAATATTATACGGACTTTATGTGTATTGTTTTTAAATAAAATTGTCCGTACTCTTTGAGGCGTTATAATTGCACGAATAATTAAATTTACATACGTAAATACTATAATTTAATCTAGACCATGAACATTAAAAATGTCAGCAATCAGAGTAGAAATATAATTCTGTTGTTTTCAAGAACAAAAATTAATTATTTCTATGTGTCTTACTTGATGTGCTAAGGAGTGTGACGCAGCACGTGGCGAAGATGTAATTTTTGATCAGATTAGCAATTTTATTTAAACTACACATTCGCATGATTCGGTAAAGTTTAAACGTTTGATAATCATAATATTTAATATACCGATTGTACAATTATCGTTTGTTTAACTGGTCCCGTAAATTTTAACGGTAAACGCGGCGGACTTGGATGTCGTCGGCGACGGTGAACAACACACATTCGGCCCTAGCCAGTAAAAACCAGACAAAGCTCGTGTTCATTTTGTGGGAGGAGGGGTTAGAGGGATTAGAGGTGACTGTAACGGCTACCGACACGGATGGGGAGCGCCAAAATTTTTTTCAAAGTTGACTACAACGCGCGCGAGCAAACTGTGTTCTGGGCGGCCGCTAATTGGCACCGGAGGTCCTGACGAAGGCGCCCGCAACGACGTCTGGCGAGCACACGTGCTCTGTCGACAGAGTATCTCCTCCAACTCGAAACCAATGTCTCCGAGCGTATAAACTCATAATCGTGAATTCATGATCCGATCATGTTTTCAAACATAAAAATTATAATTAACCCACGAATAAAAACCAGACACTATTCATTACAACACCAATTGAACGCAGCGACGTCAGGCAGTTGTTTAATGCAATAACAGGGGCTGTAAATTATATTTTATAATTTATAGTTTATAATTATAAACGTTTATAAATGTCGTTAAATGTTCCGAGCACCCGTTTATTAATTGACTTGGAAACTTAGTAGTGTGTTTTTACTGATGTTATATTTTTGGGGGTAATTAGGGGGGTTCATTCTCTTATAGAACAAAAAATATTTCCACGCTACTATGTAATCCTACGACAAAGTTGCTCTAATTTAGAACCCTTCAAAATGACTTAAACAAAATGTATAAATGCATATAATTCACATCATTGATAATAACTATTATCTTTTTTAATTGAAAAAATGCGTATTTTGTACATATATTCTTCTGCGGTTTCTTATACCGGAAAAGTATAACACACTCTATAAAATTGATCATTATTTCTACACATTTTATAGAACATTACAAATGCTTCGATTATAACAAAAATTTAAATAGAATAAAACCTCAGGCCGCGGTTCTATTCTACTATATTTTTTGTTAAATACTATTAGGACATAATAGCAATATTATCAACCACGGAAAAAAATATTAGCTCTGCACAATGTAATAATAAATTTTATATTTTAAAAATAATTGAAGTTAATAGTTTAAAATATTTTATATTTTATCAACTACACATGATTCATTACTGTTCATTTTATCTTTCATACGTCATCGACAATCATAATGCATCGCATAGGACGTGAAATTCTCTACAAAACAAAAATATGAAAAATTGACCTTTATTTACACCGAACAAAATAACGTAAGATACTTTGCAACATGACACTAAAATCAGTAAAAATACACAAATAAATATTGTAACAAAACTTTAATTTTTAAGTTTAAAAATTCTAATTCCAGTGTGATTAATAAAAAATTCTATTTAAATTGAAAAATTGGCATTAAAATAAAAACATACATAATTTACACGATTAATAATTTACAATTAATTTTATACGAACATTCTAATTTAGCTTCATAGAAACTTTTTATATATAGAGTATTCAGTAAGTAAGGAAACGGGTTTCAAGTATTCTCAATGTTTGTAACAACTGATCTGTTTCCTTACTTCCTGAACACTCTGAATAATTTGTTTTATTTAGATTTAAATAAAATAATTTATTTCTACTGTAAATAAACTAAAGGTATGAGTAATTGATCAGTATCTCAAGTCTCGTTTCTTAGAATAAAAACTATCATCAAGTTGTTTTTTTTAATTAATACACAATATTGTATTCATTAATAAATTACATAAATAAAACATATTTAAATCGTTCTTCTTTTTTCATATAACACATTTTCTTTTATACATATTGTATTTTCTAAATTATGAAAAAAAAAACATATTTTTTTAAAACTGTTTTCTTAACATTATTAATTTCGAATGTAAGTAATTTATGTAAAGATATTCGATTTCTCGATAATCAATTTTTATGAAAAGCTATTTCAACTGCGACATTGGCTTTATAATACATGTTTAGGCAACCATCAAATATTCATTTTTTTTTTTTATAAATAGTTTGTTTTGTACTTATTAAACAATTATGCTTCAGCAAATCATACTTAACCACAGTGCCATCGTTAAGTTATGCGTGGTTTCTGTGTCAGGAGAGAGGGGTTAAAGTTTAAGTCATCTGTAAAAATATTAGTTCAAATTACATAGTGAAAATGAAATTTTTTGTCGTTTGAAGGAAATAATATATCTTTTTATGTATACCCCTTGTATAAAATAAAATCTTAACTATGCCACTGCTATGTGCGTGACCGGTGCACGTATTCAGCCCTTGCACCGGCACTGCCTAATTAACCATTAAAGACCTAAAACAAATATTGATCAAGAGATTTCTTTCGTTGAAATATCAATTACTTTAAGTATATTTCAAAAATTAAAAAAGTAAAATAAAATAAATTTGAAAAAATTTTAGAAAATAGTAAAGTGTTAAACATGGTAACTTTAACTGTTTGCATGAAAAAAAGAACTATTTTATAAGTAAATTACATTTATTTCAAAGTTTTTGACGAGGAAATTTTTTTTATCGATTTGATCAAAATAAATTATGTACATAAATTATGTTAACATTTTAGTACTAGGTTAGTCTCTAGAGAATTGCACAATATCTAATGTCTATCAGTTGTTTTTATTTTTCTTTAGATAAAATCTCTAGAATTGTTTCCGCGTATTATTAAAAGAAAACTTTTTATACTGCGTCGCGGTATAAATCAAATCCAGCTCAATAAGCTTATAAACATTAAGTATATCTCCACGGGAATGTTGTTTATCAAAAATACTGTTCTTAGAATTTTCTTTGGATATATTCAATTAATTAAGGTTTTGTAAAACATGATTCAAGCAAATATGGAAACTCACCGAAAGTGAAATAAAGTACTTATAATAATATTAGAAATTACATAATGATTAAATATTATGTAATCATTACAATTGCGATAGTATTAGAAATGAACATCAATTAAACTAACTATTTTATCGTCTTACGATCTCTCATACTCACACTACCATATATAAAAGTATTCCTTAGTGACGGTTTAAAATTTATTTAAATATGACATTAGCCATTTGACATTAAAATGTTGAAAATTGTTTTAAATATTTCGGTGGAAATTATTAACTTATTGTCTTATTTATTTGTACTTATTTTTTTTATAATTGGAAGTCATAGAATTGTAATATATTAACTTCGATGCAAAGCTGAAAGGCAATTTGAAATTTTACTAAATATTTAATATAGATTCAATTACTCAATGTTTATTCAAGCTGATTACTGGGATATTTTTTATTCATTAAGTAAAATATTATTTAATTTTATTCAATGCAACATAATTCAGTTCAGCAAATATGCCACAAGCAATCATTATTTATTTATATTGACGTTTGGTTGATACTTTAAGACACAAAGCCTTTGAAATATAATATTTGAAAATGAATAACTCTGATTTAAAAATTTATGTAAGTATATATTTTTTTTTGGATCCTAATTACTTTTTTATAATCTATTATTGTACGAAATGCAATTTAAGTATTTTAAATTATCTCAATATTAATAAGCACAATAACTACACTAAAATAAATTAATTTATTAATGTAAAAATTTTAACAAAACAAGCTCATCGGAAAAATTAGTATAAATTTTAAAATTTAAATAATTATTTACGTACTATTGCAATATTTTACTTTCATCAAATAAGTTGAATTTACTTGCTATTTTTAGGTATTTTTATAAAAAAAGTTGTATTGTATTATGAATATTAAATTTGATTCTTTTTATTGATGTAATAAAAGAGAAAATAATAATCTAAACTATTTTGTTTTTGATAAATATAATGAAAAAAACTTTAGAAATGAGGTAAATATTTACTTTAAACATTTCAAAGGCATAATTTAAGATTTTCCTGTAGAATCATGTATTCAAATATTGCAATATTTATTATCTCTTGAATGGATTAATTCAAATTTTGAGTGTTATAGTCATCTAACGACTATTATAAATTTATATAATTTCTATTGAGTGTTATTCTAATAATAAAATTATATTGTTATCTATCAAACGTTTTTATATATTAATAAGGTACGTAAATATCAAATCAAACACAATGATCATATATTCAAAGAAGTAAAAAAAAATTTTAATTAGAACACTCAGAAAATTTCTCAACTATCTTATATTGGAAAAGTTAATATTTCATCACATAAATCTCAAAGTACAAACAAATAAAATGAATAATTGTATAAGTTTATATTGGAAATACATCACGACAAAACTGAATTGAACTGTTTTAGTAACTCTTTAAATATGATAAGAGAAAATTAAGAGAAAACATTGTTTCTGTATCAGGAAAATAGCCATTTGTTTAATTTACACTTTCATTGCAGTTTATCGATGTAACAGTTTAACTGTCGGCTATAAATTACAGTTCTCGTAAATCTTCATGTTTAACCACAATAGTAAAACGATTATTTGTAAAATTTATTTGGATATTCGCCACGAAGTACTAATTCAATCACACCGAAAAAGAACATATGCATTTATTCAAAATTGAATTTCTGATCAAAAATCAATGATAGCGTAAAATATAAAAAATTTTATGTGTTATATGGATATAATTATTAACTAATTCTTTGATTTCCCATCGTCTGCTATATTGCCACTTAAAAACTTGAAATAGTTTATTAGGAAAATTTCATTACTTTCTAATGATATATTTATCGATGGTGTTATTTCTTGAATACTAGAGTTTTAGTTTGATTTCATTTTTTATAGATTGTATTCTTTAATGTGATATTATTTCTATATAAAGCTGCTTGATAGACTTCTTCAATTGTTACAAGAACGGCAATATTATTAGTAAAACGAATCATTGGTATTAATATTCCTCCTATTTTTACTCCAATTCCTTTCTGAACTAACTAAAACTTTGTTTTGTTAATTGTTTTTTAATTGCTTATCTTATGCCTCTTTGAATTCTACCAGTTGTTGATATTGATTATGGCGTCTTGTTCCTCGTATATATTATTCAGAATACGTTTTTTTTTAAATACTTGTCCAATTTTATCTATAGAAACCTTTTTTTAAGTCCATAAAGATCATATAATTGATTTTTACCACCCAATTTACTTTTCTGAGTATTCTTAGCCCTTTTTATCCCGAAATGCATTTTAAAACAACCTAAGGGAACTAGTTGTAAAACATTACTTCCCCTGGGTTATCCAATATCATTTATTTATTATAAATAGCAAAT